AAAAAAACATGATTCTAGTCTTTCTAGATTTTACAGTAGTGAAAAGTTAAAAGAGGCTGTCAATACAAACATGGCCTAAATGTCACTTATAATAGTCTCGTTTTCATATATGGCACTCTTTCTACTTAAAACCCGTAAAAAGCTTGACGGGAACAGATCTATATTTTATGGAAGAGGACAAAATTAAAGATGATGCCATTGATGCATGAGAAAGACAACCCCCGAAAACGACATTTATGAAATTTAGTCGAAATTTGCTTAATGAAAATTAACTCAAACGTCAATCAGATCAAAGTTATTTTCTTAGCTCATTTACAAATTTCACGCTTTACTATTTTATTTTAATTTTAAAAAATACGCTTTGGTGAATATTAGCATATCATAATTAAGGGAACTAAGGGCTCAGATGAAATGATTAAGCAAAAATCAGCTTTATATATAATAAAGGTGGCCCCAATTTATGCCAAGGACTATATGTGATCATCTTCAAATTAATTAGATGTTGACGGGCAACATATTACTCTACAAAAAAATTGTTATATTTCAACGAAAAATTTTATGGTAATATATGTCAATAGATATTCCAACGAAAAAATTTTAATTAGTATTAGTAGATAATTTAATTTAATAAAAAAACAAATTTATTTATTTATATATACTTGCAATATAAATATCAAATCGAAACTCGTCAAAAGATGATTAATGTGATATTATATATATATATATAGGGTCGCGCTCACATGAGAATAGGGCTTAATGCGAGAAAAGAGAATAAATTGTAGTCATCAGATGGAATGATCTAATGTCTAAAAAAGAGTCAAAATTATACCTTCAATAAGGATATTAGAGTAATTTTTCACACCACCCCAAACAGGTGGGCCCCGTTTCACAATAATCCACGTCACTAACATTACCCACCCACCACATTAAACCACATTAATGCACCTGCCATCAACCCCACCCTACTCCACCCCACATCACGCTCACCCTACACTATCTCTCTCTCTCACACACGCACAAACACACACACACAATCTACACACACATTCACGGCCCAACACCGCCAGCCTGCCGCCGGACGTCAGCCGCCGCTACCACCCATACTCCCACCTTCGGTCAGGCGTCGTCACGGTGAAACTTCAGGTGCTGCCGTCCGTCAGTCCGCCGCCGCCTCCACCGCTCTTCCACCCGTCGACCTCCCACTGCGCCGCACACAGAGCCGCCTAAGGTCATCTCGACGCCAACTCTCATCACCTCCCTTATCGTCCCACCGTCTGCCGGAGGCGGCAACCCTGAGCTCGCACCAAACGACCGCCGTGTCCCTCCGCCACCGCCGCTACGCGTCTACACAATTCAAACCCGCCGCCGTCCACTCCCACCAGTCCTTCCGCCGCCGACGATGCCGACGCGCCGCTGCGCCTCACTCGCCCCTCTGCCCGCCGCCGTTCATTTCCACCAGCCGATTGCACCCACACGGCCGCGGCCGCCACCTCGTTCTCCGAGCATCCGAAAGCCAACGGCGTTTGGGAGTGCGCGACGTCGATGGATAAGAAGGCAATGGGAATATGGCGGCGCCGCCGCCGTCTGCGGGTGTGGCTGGATGTGCAGGAATGGGATGTGTGGGAATGGATTTGGGGTGGGGTTTGTGGGGTTTATTTTATGAAAATTAGATAAATTGCAAGGACTTAATTGCAATTTTATGAAATTTGATTTATTTCAATTTGGTTCAAGTGTCAAATCTGTAATTTATTGAAAGTCTAATAAATGCATACTAAATATAAATAAAATGCACATTATATACATAATAATTCATTTGAATGTTTATAATAATTTGGTTGATTGATCGAATGATTATTAGTGCACATTATTTTTTTCTTTCAACAAATAATAATATAAAATATAAAATTACAAAATCATAAATATTAAATATAATTTTACAATATAAATATTTTGATAAAATTTCAGTATGTAAAATTTAATATATAAAAAATCTTAAAATAATAAATATACTTTTTTAATAATAAATAATAAATTATTTTGTTTATCTAGGTCAATTTGATGGGCAATTATATCGACTAAATTTATTTTTCAAAAACACATAAGTTATATTTGATTGCATAAAGTAGTGCACTTTATATATCAGCACGATGCACTTTATACAACAACACGTTGCACTTTATAAAACAACACGTTGCACTTTATCAACACATTGCATATTTAATGTCAACAGCCCCCGCCAAATTATTATGCAATATAAATCTAAAAAACGGATCAATAAAATAATTTAATATCTATCATATCATTTGTCCACAAAAAAAGAAAATAAAAAAAAAACAGTATGCTAAGTTGCTAACGTACCAAAATTTCAGTATCACTTTATATACCAGTACGATTGCACTTTATACAATAATATGTTGCACTTTTTAACATATAATGTTGCACTTTATAAAACAACACGCTTTCATACAAAAAAAAATACAATAATTATGATAATCGATCAAATAATACTGGTTGGTTAAATGTCGGATTTAGTTTCTAAAATATACAGTATAATCGAACATGTCGAACTATATGAAAAAAATATTACCGGTTATAACATTATTTTTTTATCTGCATTTTTTACGTGTTGCGATTGCACATTATGACTATATGTATTGCACATAATTGACTACATGATTGCACAAAATCGAACGAGATCCAACCAACATAAAATAAATGAAAAATATTAAAATATTAATTAAGATTTGTTAATTACAAATTATACCCATGACCTAAATTAAAATATACTAAAAATACTAAACTTGCAAATATACCCCTAAATGTCATCTAATTTTCAAAGACAAGTCCCCCCAAAATCAAAACACCCTCCCGTCACCATCTCCAATTGCCGGTCAAATTCACGGCACCATTGTCGGCGTCGCAGCCGGCGTCGCCATGGGCCTGAGCTTGGATTACCGCCGCCGCGTCGGAGCAACAGCGCTCGCTCCCGACTCCATTGTCATCTTCTCCGTCGACCTCGATGTTGTCCCATGAGAGCATATTGACGGGGTGGACCTCCGGCGAGGACGAAGAAAGACGAGTATGGTGTCTGGAGAAGGCCAGATCTATTCCAACAAGGTGGTCGTCGGCTATGGCGGTCGGCGGTGGACGGCGGCAAGCGGAGTAAGGTGGTGTTGTTGGTGGCGGACTTGACGGAGCACCTTCGCCGTGAGCTTTGCCGGACTTGACGGATGGATCGCGGCAACGTCTAACGACGACGGCGACGTGGTCGGCGGACTCGTTGCAGTTGCGGTGGCGGTCGGCGGATCGAGGCCGTGACCTGTGAGCTTCCGGCGGCAGGGGGAGAGAGAAGGGAAGATGGAAGAAGGGAAGATGAAACGGGAGAGAGAAAAGAGAGGAGAGAGGAGAGAGGTGATGCAATGAATATAGGTGGGGCCCACTGATTTGGATGATGGGTCAAAATTACATATTTGCCCTAAATGGTTATATTTGATCCAATAATGTTTAAATATTTACAATTATGCCACTGCGATTTTGACTAATTTTAATTAGTTTGACTTCATCAAGGCCATTAATGTTGTAGATCCAATGTTCCAAATTCATTCTCATTTCTCGCATTAAAACTCATTCTCATATGATCCCTTACCTATATATATATATATATATATAAATTGATAACAAATGCAAAACTAATTGATTTTTAAATATATTTCTAATTTAAGTTAGTCAAATATTTTATAATTTTAAAAGTTCTAATAGATGTGGATATAATATACAGAGCCACATAGACTATTCCGAACAGTAAAAAATTGACACATCGAATCTGGAATATTTTGCTATAAAGGGATATATAGTGGATTCATACCCCTTGGAGAAATTAGGTAATACCGGCAATGTTTACAGTATTGAATCCAAGAAGGAATAAAGGGTTTTTTTAAATTGCTAATGTCAACGTTGTTCTATTAAGTAAGCTGCTCATTGGTAATTTGGAAGAGGATTTTTTAACTTGTATTAGCAATGAGGACAGAACAAAAGGAAACAGTTTAAACTTTTGGAGTGGAGAATACAGCTTAGAGAATAAAGTTTTAAAAGTTTTCGATATACACATATCATTGTCATGGAAATGAATGTTGAGACCTTGCATTCAAGTAACCAAATGATGTTGTATACAAAGTTTAATTTTTGTTCTGATTTTCGGAATTGGTATGTAGAAATTAGAATTAATATATCTATGTGGACAACAATATTCTTGAGATCATAGCTAATCTTCTGAGATATATATTAATAACTAATATTGAGATATTAGCTAATCTTCAGGCAACAATTGTATATAATTGGTTTTGGTTGTGATTTTCGAAATCGTAATGTTGAAATTTAAATTAATATTTCAAATTGTATCTTTTAATAATATTTATAATAAACGATCGATAACATAGTAATTTTTTTTATTGAAGTATCTCTGCTCGAGTTACGGAACATATCAAATTGCAAAACAGTGTCAAAGTTCTGCCTCACTATAGGCACTACGACACTCAGTTCAGCTCATTAGTCGATAATATTCTGTAAGAGATGATGTATAGAATGCGCATCGGACCTATATTTATACGGAATTAGTATATTATTTTCCTAAAAGTTGAGGCTTCTTATTCATAAAAAAACTCAATAACTAGAACTAGGAGCATATATTTATATAAATCTACTTTTTCATCTATTTGAACAATAATATTCTAGAGATCTTAGTTGATTTTCTGAGGTAACTCAATTACAAAGTATTATAGAGTGTGGATTCATATATATAACCAAACCGAACCAATTTTTAATCTCGACACAATAATGACAAGGGTCGACACAATAATGACAAGGGACAAGAAGCTGAAACTCAAATATAGTTCACCCGAAATCCAAATCAAAACACAAAATGTTTGAAACATGAACTGAATTTAAGTACTCGACAATCCATTACTTATCTCAACAAACAAATAACTATACAAACTCAACATGCCTTTCACTTGAACCTATAATTTCATTTAGCATACCCATTTTATCGATGAATTGTGCCGTAACTCAAGTAAACACTCTTAGTCGTAACTCTTCTTACTTTTGCACAAGAAAAGTTCGTTCCTACTAGGACTGCAAACGAGCTGAGCCGAGTCGAGCATTAGCCTTATCGAGCTGGATTGATTTTTTTTTTTTTTTGAGCTGATCGAGCTCGAGCTCGAGCTAGACTCGATAAAAAAATACAAGAGCTCGAACTCGACTCGAATTCAAAATGCTCGAGCTCGGCTCGAGTTCGGTTCGAATTTTTTCAAGAAGTTTTTATAAAATAACCATTAAATACATATATACACAAGGAGTATTTTAGTAATTTCATATATCTCGAGCTGCTCGCGAGCCGCTCGACAATTCAAAATATGGGCTCGAGCTCGACTCGAGTTCAGTCAAACTTGAGCTCGAGTCGAGCTTTGACTCGTGCGCTCGCAAGCGGCTCGCGAGCTGCTCGACTCGTTTGCAGCCCTAGTTCCTACAAGTAAGCATAGTGGCTCGCCAGTACGATCGAATTTGCCTTTCTACGAAGTCACGAGCAATTCACGTGTTGGCACTTTGGTTAGTGTGTGTGTCGACATTTTGGTATTTTTGTTTTGTGGTTTGTGATGATGTCATCTTACACTTACATTGTCCAGTGA